TTAGCTTGCGCCAAACGACGCGTAGCGACACCAAAAGCGGGTACCCGTGTCAAAAAGGGGGGTCGACGAGCCTTGACAGATTCTGTTTTATGCACATGCGCTGTGCCGAAAAGACTTGTGCCTCCTTATCGGATGCTTGTACACAAAAGAGATCAGGTACACACGGTAGCAATGCCCGCGCGCTCCGACAGCACGGTGGCGTGTACCCTTTTTTGACATGCGTCGCTGTAAGATCGCATGTTCGCATACGGTATCCGGAAAATCGAAGCTCAAGATACCGTTGTGGTCTGGAAGAGGTCGCGTGTGCTGCGCCTGCGCTGGCTTGGGCCACGAGAGGACAAGAGGATGATGCAAGAGAGAGGTGGTGCTGAGGCTCGTAATGGAGTAACTTGTGATGCACTGCGGCGGCGGCTCTCATTTTCGAAATTCGACTCTATTTTAGGAAAGGTCGAATATCCGAAGTTCGAAGATTTTGAATACGTGGCGGCGAGCTGTGGCGGCGATGGACGACGAGCTGATGGACGACGATGTCCTCTTCGATGCGATGGACTCGCGCATGCATGCGATGCCAGAGATAGACAAGCCGATGCGTATCGAGCAGCCCAAGGCCGAGACGTATGCGCCAGCTTCGAATGGGCCGGACGTCAAGGACGGCGTGTACATGGAGCAGATCTTGAATTTGACCCACCAAGTCGGCCAGTTGAAAGCATCCGCGGCCGAGTTTACCGCTGCGCGTGTGCAAAGCGCTGCCGAACTGTCCACGTACGTATCACCTTGTCGCATCGTGGGCGCTCATGCTAGCGTAGGCTGCGGCAGCAACTGGACCGACAAGAGTCGGCCTCCAAGCACCTCAAGCAAATGCTAAAAAACATCAGCGACAAGTACACCGCGCTGCAAATCGAGCACAAGAGCACAAAGGAGCTTGCGGACGAGCGTCGATTGCATCTAACGTCGACCCAAGAGCGCGTGATCGCACTCGAAGCTCAAGTGGAAGCACACGACGCGCAGCGCGAGCAGTGGGCCACGCTCCAGATAGCGCACGAAGCTCTGCGCCTTGAGCTTTTGCAGGTGACATCGGAGCGCGATGCGTGGCAGAGCCAGGTGCAGCATCTCGAAGGCGTCGAAGCCGCCAACGAACAACTGCGCAGCGACGCCGCCACAATTGCGCTCGAGCACGAGCTGGCGCGGAAGCGGTCGCACCACATCATCAAGGAGCTGCGCAAGTCGCTCGCCGAAGAACGGGCCCGCCCGCCGCCGTCGCCCGTCGTCATCTCGACGCCACTGGCCGTCAAGTGCATTTACGTGGCCGAGCCCATCGATAGCGCGGCAGACGTGGTCTCGGAGTTTGCGCTGCGCATCGAGGGCCTTCTGCAGGCGAACGCGCTCTTGTCCGAGCGGCTTCGGTTCTCCGAGGAAAACACGCGGCTGCTCGCGACCGACTTGGAGAAGAAGCGGCTGCTGCTGAGCCACCTCACGCACACGGCCATGACGGTACCGGCCGCGATATCATCGTTACGACTTGGATGCGCGACCTGTAGGAGGACGTGGATGATATGCATGTGCTGGCCAAGGCGATGCACAGCGAGCGCCTCGAGACGGCCAATACGCTTCTGCAGGCGTTGCTACGCGAGAACGCAGCTCTCAAGGTACCATCGGTCCATCGTTCCTGTACCGATGCGCGCGCACTAGGCACGGGCGCCTCTGGCGCCACTGGCGCTGTCCGAAGCGCCTGCTCCACCAACGCACTACCGTGCCATGTAGATGGCATATTGCCTCAAATGTACAAGACGTGTGTGAATTCATTCAATGCGCTTAAAGGTCCCGGAGCTTGGCCTCGATGAGTTCCGTGAGCTCGCGCACTTGGTCCTTGAGCTGCTCAATGTCCGAGTCGTTGGCAACATCGCGGTTCTTGGGGATCCACGACATCTCCTTGGCCTGCACCTTTTGGTACACGAACGACTCGGTGCCGTTCATGTCGGTCGTCGGCTTGCCCTTGAGGTACATGATGAAGAAGAAGTAGTGCCACAGGTTGTGCTCTTCGTTCGTATGGCGCGCAAAGTTGTCGCGGAGGCCGAGGCGGATGCCTGCGTACTCAATGTCGTCCTTGGACGTGTTGCAGACGAGGCACGAGTTCATGGCCGTCCGGTCCTTCTCCTCGGCGGCCTCGCGCAGCGCGCCGAACGCGTCGATGATGATACCCATGATGACGT